AACCACATGTCCACCTTTGTGTCCATGATCCCGCCCGGTTTCAGCCACTCGTTTCTATCAGGTATCCATAATTTAAAATGTTTTACCAGTTGATACTTTCTTGTGGTTCTGTCCTGTTTTCCCTCAATAGGGTACTTTTGGAGAAGACCTAGCCTGGTGTGTCCCAGTCCTGTGTTTCTCCATTCACCCTGACATTTCAGGCGGTATGCCGTGATATTGGCTGATTTTATCACGGCCAAGCCTATAGGCGTAACACTGAGTGCTATTTCAAGCGCCTCTGTGGGTGTGGTTCTCATGGCCCCTACTGCAGCCCTTAAGTAGTTACCTTGCAGGCTTCTAAGTAGTTTCTCCACCTCCCCTTTATTTATTCTCGTCCACCAGACGACTGACGCATATAGCAGCCGCGGCAGCAGGACCGCCCTGTACAGCCACAATGCTGCACCAGCGCCGATGCCCCACGACTTGCTCATTGCCCTTCTGCACATCCACATGGATGCATAGAACTTTTTCCTTTGCTCTATGAGATGTTTTCCCCAGCTAAGCTTAGGATCTAGAATCAGTCCCAAGTATTTCACCGAGTTCGTAAACGGTATTTCCTTTCCCCAGAGTTTTAACGTCTTTATGGGTTCAGGTTTATATTTTCTGGTGAAGACCATAATATTTGTCTTGCTCGGATTAACCGTTAGACATCTGTTCTCACACCAGTTTTGCACAATCCTTAAGGTATCCTTTGCTTGGTCCCTTAGTGTGTTGAGAAATGGTCCTCTAACCACAATGGCCACGTCATCAGCATAGCCAAAGGTCGAGAAACCTTTCCTCTGTAGCTCCTTTAGCAGGTCGTCTATCGCTAGACACCACAACAGAGGAGATAAAACTCCCCCCTGTGGGCAGCCTCTCGTTGGTTTTCCTCTGATAGAGATATCTTGGCACTCCACCGTCAAGCATCTGTCCACTAGCATGTCTTCTATCCAGTCCACCAGTGGTTCTTGTACACCATGTCTAATCAGTGCCTCCCCTACCACCTCGTGTGAAGTACTATTGAAAGCGCCCTCGATGTCCAGGAAGATTCCGATCGCATAGCCCTTTGCCTCCAGCTGACTCTCAACTTTGCCTATCAGGTGATGTAGGGCGGTTTCGGTAGACCTGCCCTCCCTGTAAGCGTACTGAGAGTCGGCTAGAGGTTGTTGTATTAGAGAGTTGGACTTGAGAAATCTGTCCACCAGTCTCTCTAAGGTCTTCAATACGAAGGACATAAGGCTAATTGGTCTATAGTCCTTTGCCCTGACGTGATCGTTCTTGCCAGGTTTAGGTATAAAAACCCTCTTGGTTTCTCTCCACTTCTGGGGGACATGTCTAAGGGCAATACTTGCTCTGTAGATTTTTGTCATTGGGCTTAACAAGCTGCTCTCAACAATATACGAGCGAATATTAAATTTATGTTAATCAAAAATTTAACTATATTTTCCGATTCCAAATCCGTTTTGGAAGCGCTAAAGAATATTAGTTTTAGCAATAAGACCTCATATTTGATAACTGAAATTAGACACCTCGCCAAGGAGTTATCTGAGAGTGGTAGAAACCTAAAACTAATTTGGATTTCCAGTCACTGTGGAATCACAGGGAATGAGATGGCTGACAAGCTGGTCAAGGCACAGTATATACTGTGGTCAAGGAGGCTCCTAAATCGGAAATTGACTTTCCATTGTGTACTTTTACAAATAACTTTAGAGTTAAATGGAAAGAAGACTTATTTAATTTCTTCTTCAAATGGTGCGAAACTACAGGCAAATCAAAAGCCACTTGGTACATGGAAAATTGCTTAACGCATAATAAAAATCCCTGGTTTCATGACTTCATATAATCTCAACATATCTCGTAAGGGAATGGTATCCATCTCAATGATGAGATGTGATCATACCTCTCTTTTAGAGAGTCTCCATCGTTTCTCTATTGTTCCGTCGCCAAACTGCCCAGTCTGTGAATGTCCGGAATCTATTGACCACATTTTGTGGCAATGTGATCGGTTTGAAATACAAAGAACTGCATTAATTAAAGGTATAACAGAGCATATGGGTCTGCTTCCTATTCCAGCCAGGTCTCTTCTTACTCAAACACATAAATATAACATAGTCCTCGCTCTGGATTCTTTTATTAGGTGTATCAATTACAATATCTAACGGGAAAGTCATTTTATTTAGTCCTTGACTCGTTAGTCACATAGTACTAAAACCTTAAGAATTTAGTATACCAAAGATTTATAAGATTTTTAATCCTTTAACATATATATAAGATAATTTTTTTCCTTTTGTATTGTTTTTAAAGTTGATCTATGTATTATTTTATATCTGTTTTAGTTTTAGTCTAATTTATTTTATTTTTAGTTTAGTTTAGATTAGTAAGTACCCTGCCGAAAATGGTCGATCAAAACCGATTAAAACGTAATCCGTTTTAATCGGTTTTAATCGGTTTAATCCGCGCCCGGATTAAAAAGTAATTGATTTTAATGCGGAACAAATTACAATCAATTTTAATATCGCTTTCGCGAATTATTTCTAATCCGAAATCATTACATTCTAATACAGATTGGTGTCAATCTAAATAAACACAAATAATCGGATAGATATATTTACGATTACTCACCCGAAATTCATTCATCGTAATAGTTCAAAAGATTTGTTCTTTTAAGGCCCTTGAATACTCAATTGATTATTCATTATTTTATTAGAAAACATCTTTATTTTCATATAAAAGCCCATTCTACAATACATGGAGTAAGAAGTAAGAAGTAAGAAATACGAAATGGGATTTGCCCATTTCCTTACTTCTGATTTTTGATTTGTTGAAATCTTACTCTTACTCCTTATACTCCATGTATTGCAGAATGAGCTTAAGACGCAAGAATCTTTTTGATATGTTTTCTCGCTTCTGGCGTCATCAATTCAAGATGACTACAGTGAATATTCAAGGGCCTTAAATATTAGTTTTTGTTTATGTTTAAATAATTTTGTGTTTATTTTTATTTTAGTTGTGTTTATTTCATTTCCAATTTCAATACAAATTGTTTGTATTACTTGAAAGTTTGATACCATTCAGTTATATGAACTGTTATTCATTTATCATAAGTTTATTTACGTTTTGTTATAATATCAGTTTATTTTAAGGTTTTAAAACTAGTTTTAAAGAAAACTCAACCAAGCAATAATATTGTTTAAAATATATTACACGACAGTATTCTTGTAGAATATGTGATAATTAAATATGTGATTTAATTAAAATAAAGTTTACACGAAATATAAGCAAGACATTTGACATTATTTTAATTGTATATCGCGATGTAATCCGCAAAATCGTAGAATTTTGAATAGCAACGGATTATTTTTGTCGGATTATTCCAACAGATTCACATCGCATTAAAACTGATTTGATGCAATTATATAATATCGGATTGAGGTGGATGTATATAATCTCATTAATCCGTCAGAATATGATATATTTTCAATCGGTTTTAATACTGTATTTTCGGTGCAGAAATCCCGATCGATTCAGATTACTTCTTATTTTAATCGGTTTTAATCGACCATCGGCAGGGTAGGGACAACTTTTCGCTGTTAATTCTAGTTTAGTTCGTATAATTGTCAGTTTTCGACTATTTGTCTGTTTCCGACTAATTGTTTTTCTCTGTATCGCTTTTGTAATTACTAACTAATGTAAAAATAGAGATGCCTCAATGCCTCTGTAAAACTGCCATTAGTCGATAAGTTAAAATTCGATTTGTACTACTGGCGCTGTATGGCCCTTGGATCATAGCGGACCTATGCTTATTGCTGAATAAAAAAAAACATTTATAAAATTTTTAGCAAAAAAATAATTTTTCTTTTTAATAGAGACAGATACCATAGCAGTGGACAAGTCAAAGGTTAACTTCTCGCTTCATAACGATGAAGATGCATTCCTATTGACATTTAAAAAAAAAGTCTGTCTAATTTGCTTTGTCCTCGTCTTCTCTCTGTTCAGTTCACTCTAAGACTCATACCGATTGACAATTTAATTATGTATTGACACATCGCTAATTTTTATAGTTTTTTAATAATGTGAATTTATTTTTGCTTTAACACTTCATTTATTAGAAATTTAATTATATATTGTTACACTAAGGAAGACCAAGTAGGGTCGAAACGTTTATACAAAGATTCTTGTTAATTAAATGTTTTATATTTAAATAAAGATATCAGGGAATCAATTGACCAATACTGGCTAAGGTGAAAAATCTTTTATTGAAAAAGACGCAACGTTTCGACCCCGAATTAGGTCCTCTTCAGGCTGTTACAAGAAAGTGGTAAAACCTAATAAATGATCATGATGTCAATTTCTTGTCTACGATCAGAGCATGACAAGATATCAGTAATACACGAACAGAAATGCTCACTCTGACATATAACATTACATTGATTTATATTTAGTTTATAGTTTTATATTTAGTTAAAGAATTTAATCGTTATTTCATCTCATTAATATATACACCTAAGATTTGCTCGTTTAGTTGGTCTAATATTAACAAATTCTTTTGCGTTGAATTATTTAATATATTTTTTATCTCGATTATATTCGTATGCAGACTATGTTATTAGCCGCTAGAATTTAAATCATTTGACATTTGCGCAAATGATTTCTGCGTAGACGCTTGACGCTTGATGCTGCCACGTAAAGGCACCTTAACGCGGCGAAGGCGCACGCGAGAGAGCACAAAGAGAGAGATAGCGCATCGACAAGATGACGCGAGGCAAGAAAAAAATGATGACGCGATGCTAATTCTAAAGTGCTTTAATATTTTTTTAACAATTTCTTTATTTATTTACTTAATAATATAAATTCTATTTATAATTCAAAAGGAAACAAGAGGTAAGGAGAGGGTTTAATCCTAAAATAATTACACAATATATAATATATAAAAATATTTATTCATAACAAATGTGTTTGTATATGTGTAAAAAATCCCGCACTAATTATAGGGAAAAATCTATCTCGGTCAAATCAGTTGGTTTTTTCATATGTTGTAGTTTATGATCTACTGAACAAAAGATGTAATGGCCACAATAATGGACAGTTATCGAGTTATAACCAGTCAAACATGAAAAACTTGGACTCCCGAATAGTCAAATCTCGTAAAGTATTGATTTTTTGGTAAAATGTGTGAAACAAAAATAGTAAAGTTTTACAAAATCTGTTGACATTATTCTGGTGACATTATTTTTGATTAAACGAATAATATGTTCAAAGAAAGCACATCAAATTAAAACGAGGAAACAGAATTTTGGAGGACTTGCCATTCAATTTAAAAATGATAAGTTTCACGGAAAAATGACTGCAGATATGGTTTATGGCTTGCAAACTGAGCCTATCGCGAGAAACTGTTTTTGCAATATAACTGGATTAAAAGTACATACAATCGGTCTCGTTATCAAAATGACTCAGCCATTTTAAGCAGCAAATCCTGATGGTATCATTCTGGAAGATAAATCTCTTTTAGAAATTAAATGTCCTGCTACATGCAAAAACAGTAAAATTATAGATCGAGAAAATAATATATTAAACGTTCCTTATCTATTGTTTAATTCTAAGGGAAATATAGAACTTAAAAAGTCTCATATTTATTATACGCAGATACAAGTTTCTATGTATGTAATAGGCTTAACCAAGTGCCATTTTTTGTATATTCCAAAGATGACTACGTACATTTAGAAATTCAAAAAGACGAACTTTTTTTAATGCAATATATACCAAAGATAGAACAGTTTTATTTTAAATATCTGCTTCCTCAATTTAATAATTTAATAGTTTAAAGTTTCTTCTTTGTTGCGTTCTTCAATCAAAGGAGGGAGACTGTTAGCAATAATACAACATGTGTGCATAATTGCATCTATGTAAGGTAATAAATCTATTGAAATGTGACTCAAAATTTTAGACAATTTCACTCGCTAAATAGCTCTTTCAACGTGTATTCTTACAGAAGCTATACTATATCCTTCTTCAACTTCTTCATCAGAAAATTGTGGATTCAGCAAATGGGAGAATCACTAGCGTAGCATTTCGTTTACCTAATTCAGATTGAATCTGAGGAAATCCCTTGTCTGCCAAAACTAGATCATTAGGCTCAATCAAATTCAAAAAACCACAATCATTTGTTATAAAACTGTCAGTTGATTTTTCCCCATAAGCTTTTAAAACTTTGCAGATATAACCATCAGGAGTAATAGCAATTAAAAATTTAACCATAAATCTGCCTTTATAATTAGAGTACTCTCTATTGAGGACTCTCTATTCTACAGTTCGTGGTGTATCAGTAAGTATTTCTGTGCAGTCTATAATAAATACATCTGCAATTTGGATATTTAGAAAATGTTATAGGCAAATTTTTTTTAACACTTTCTTTAGAAGGCCAAAAAATCCATGTTTTTGTTTTCTTGGTTAAAGTTTGCAAAACTTTAAAGAAAATTCTTGCAGTAGTCTTGTGAATGTGAAATAGATCGCCAAGAGCACAGAAAGTAATCCCTAGTTTTAATTTCATTAGGAAAAGTAATAATCTATTTTCTTTTCCTAGCGTTCTGTAAAAGACAGGTTGTCCATCTTTACCTAACTCTATTAAATTTAATAAAACATCAAAAAAATTGTGTGATATTCCAGCTAGCTCACGCATAGATGAATCTGTTTTAACATCTGCAAAACCCGTAAATCCTGGATTCTCTCTCATTTCAATATCGGGCCCACATTTTTTCTCTGTCGTAGTTTTAATTAGCTTGTCAATGATGATATTACGGTATTTTTGCGGCTGTTAAATACAAATTTCTGTTTGAGTACATATATCATTCCAGCAAAAAATATATTGACATCATTTATAAAAGGTGTCATGCAAGGGTCTGTTTGAATTCCAATGCTTTCCTTTTTCTTCTCCATTTCTACGACGACTGTAATTTAAAATAAAAAATTTTTTATTATATAATTTCTTATTCATTATTATTATTATTATATTATTTATTTATTTATTTATTTATTTATTTATTTATTTATATAATGTTAATAATTTATATCCTTTAAATTAGTACTAACTCGTTTCCTCATATTCTTCATGTTTAGTAGAAATTACTGCTGCAGCTTCTTTATATATATTACGTTTTTTAAGTACCTGAGCTCTTTCTATATTTGACTTTTTTCTTTATAAAATAAAGGATAGATGATTGATGGAACGTATGCTTCATCATACATATTCTCTGATTTCTTCCCGCCCACAAAGTGAGCACTGCATACACAAGAATTTGAGCCAGTCATCCAAGGTTTGCCATCTACAGTTCTATGAAACAATTATTATTAGATATATATTTAAAAATGTAATAAAAATAATTCTGTATTTTATTTATATACACATTATAATATAATTATAATATTATTATAAATTATTTTTAAATCATACATTAACATTGATCATACTTACCGTCTCCTAACGGCTTGAATCCATCGTTTCTTTCTTTCTATTTCATAACTTTTTGATGGAAAACAATAAAAATTTAATTCGGGATTTTTAGCTTCTGTATTTCAAAATTATTCGTTCAAATAGAAATTGCAGTTTTGTTGGCAAAACAACCAACAAAACCGCAATTTCTATTTGAACGAATAATTTTGTTATTCGAAGCCATAATTCACATTTTCCCTCGATCTCCAAGTGAATTCAATATAATAATAATATGAACTTTCGTTGTAATTTTAATTACTAATTTAGTTATTTGTAAATGGACGATGACACCATACAAAAATACGAATAACAGAGAATACAATACTTATGTGTAAACAAAGACGTAATTGCATATAGAAGCTATTTGCGGGAATTTGTATTTAATTGAATTAAATGGATATCATGTGTCAACTCTCTTTGATTCACCCTTGTGTTGCCCAATTTTGCCGACAGGACGACGCTGCAGGAGATACGCTGTAGGCATGCGCCTATTTCCCCTTATGCGCCATATTGTTGGAATAGCGGAGATAGCCAATAGCGCCTCTCCGCCTTCTCCTCCAACGCTTGAAATATCGGGGACTAACGGTTTTCTGCCGTAGAGACATCATTCCCTCTCGTCTCTCGTTACTGGCTATTGACTGTATCTGATATCTTGAGTACATTTATAATAAATATCAGTTGCTATAAAGAGGAGTCCCTTCCATCGTGGTCAACGAGTATTCTATGGCGTAAGGTCAATTAACCGCCACAGTGGTGACCCCGACGTGATTTTCGTCACCGTTGAACACGACACGAAGGATCCCGGCATTCACGTTGGCGAGAACAAAGCCACCGCTGTCGCATTAAAAATCGTAACGCAGTCCATCAAGCTGTTCCTGCCTCAACCAGTAGCCGAGCAGTCCACCTAGTGAATTTCGTCTCGGCAAGGGGCCGATAATATTCAGCACTTCTCGCCGACCTGTGAGGACATTGCGTGAAGCCACCGTCACCGGCGCCTTTTGCTTCCTCCTATTGTAAACCGGCATGTCTTCTTCGTCATACAACGCAACTCAGCGAGCGTCAAGACATCCTATAGCGTTCAAAATTCTGCGCATTATCGTGTGTAAGGACACCATTTTTTAGTCAGTAAGCCGTTGAAATCGAGCTCGCCGCGAGTGTTTTGTTCTTCAACCGTTTGACTTCCGCGTGACAGTATTTTGTCCAAACGATCGTGTTAATTTTTTGTAGTTGTTACTATCGGTGCTATTATCGTCCTTTCCGCACGTGTAGTTAGTAGCTGGTTTTAGTACGCGTGCGTTCTATATATATTATATTTGTTATATATGTAAGTTCGGCTTGTAAACGAGCGATAGTCGGCCTAAACTCACCCTCGAGGGAATCATGTGTTATTGGCATAGTGGAAACGTGGTACTACTTATGTATATATATATATATATATATATATATATATATATATATATAAGCAAAAGGCGCCGGTGACGGTGGCTTCACGCGACGGCCTCGCAGGTCAGCAGAACGTGCAGAATGCTAGCTTAAGGCGCCGGTGACGGTGGCTTCACGCAATATCCTCACAGGTCGGCGAGAAGTGCTGAATATTATCGGCCCCTTGACGGGTAGTACCACGTTTCCACTATGCCAATAACACATGATTCCCTCGAGGGTGAGTTTAGGCCGACCATCGCTCGTTTACAAGCCGAACTTACGACACGCGCTCAGAGCGCAGACGGTCCTATCCGCAATACCGAACCACACGATGCAGGTGCTTCTCACCATGCTCAGCGTGTCGAAGCATTTTATCGCGTACCAAAAATTTCGCCATTTTTCAAGGCTGATCCCGCGCTGTGGTTTATTCAAGTCGAAGCTTCCCTTTGTAACGCGGGTATAACTAATCAAATTACAATGGCCGACACGGTAATCTCTCACTTAGATGTGGAAGCCGTTTCATTCATCAGCAATTTAGTCTCAGCTCCCGATCCGGATAATCAGTATAACATTATTAAAGATCGTATTATATCCACCTTCGCGATTTCCTCAGAGGCGAAACTGCGACAGTTACTTAAAGGACAAATTATGCTAGATGGTAAACCTTCGCAAATACTTGCACGCATGCGCAACCTGAGCGGATTCTTCTGTAGCGATTCAGTACTCTGCTCAATGTTTCTCGAACTTTTGCCAGAGAATTGCCGTGCAATTTTAGCTGCCGCGAAAACTAATACCCTTCAGGAAATGGCTCAACTAGCTGATACTATTGTAGACTCTATAGGTCACACGCCCCTATACATCGAGCTATAAGCTCACTCAGCATCGCCCGATGTTGCGTCTTCTTTAATTGCTAGTTCGTCCAAAGTTAGAGAATTAACAAAAGCCTTACGTAAGCTATTATCGCGAGATAGATCCCGCTCACGTTCACGACCGCGCCCTCCCAAACTATCACCTCGTCGGAGATCTAGTCCGCGTAGCAATGATGGCCTCTGCCATATCTATCGCAAGTACGATGAAAAAGCCAATTACTGCCGCAAGCCTTGCTCTTGAAAGCCTTCTTCCGACGAGGCGTCAAACTAACAGGGCCTTCCTCTACTGAGGCGATGATCGAAAGTCCCGTTTCCTCTAAACGTGCATGACAAGAAGACGGGCAACATCTTTCTAGTCGATTCTGGCGCAGAAATATCGTTATTTCCTGCCCCCTCTAAACACAATTTACGCCCCTCTGGCAATAAATTATTCGCAGCAAATAATACAACTATTGACACATTTGATTCCATGCACCTTACTCTAGACCTCGGTATCCGTCGCCCTATTACGTGGAATTTTTTAGTTGCCGCAGTCCCATTTGCAATAATAGGAGCTGATCTTATCACTCATTTTAATTTGCTCATCGATCTCAAACGACGACGTCTCATTGATGAGACAACGGGCCTTTACATCTCCGGAGCTCTTAAATCAACTTCCGTGTTTTCGGTTCACATAAGCAACCCGGCGCACAAATACGCGCCAATAATCGCAGATTTTCCCAAAGTTTTCGGTGCCGCGCAAGCTATCCCTCTCGAATCGCGTGGCGTTTATCATCACATCGTAACCACCGGCCCTCCGGTAGCCGAATGTGCCCGCCGTTTGCCCCCCGACAAATTGAGAGCGGAAAAAGCTGAATTTAGACGATACTGTAAAGACGGTATTTGCAGATCATCCAGCAGCCCATGGACAAGCCCGATTCACCTAATTAAAAAGAAAAACGGTGAATGGCGCGTCGTCTGCGGCGGTTATCGTCGTCTCAATGCAGTTACCGTACTCGACCGCTATCCAGTATCGCACTTACATGACTTCGCGTCCGCATTACATGGCAAAACAATTTTTACCTTGTTAGACCTTTCGCGAGCCTTTCATTAAATTCCCGTTGCGCCAGACGACATTCCAAAAACTTCCGTAATTACCCCCTTTGGACTATTCAAATTTTGTGCTATGACCTTCGGATTACGCAACGCCGGGCAAACTTTCCAGCGATACATTCATCGTGCTCTTGGCGACTTGGAGTTTGTTTTCACCTTTTTCGATGACATTCTCATAGCTTCCATATCCGAGGCGGAGCATGTGAAACATCTTCGAATTGTCCTCCAACGACTTGAAGAATTTCATATCCGCGTTAATTAAAATAAGTGTGTTTTCGGGGTACCTGAATTCGTGTTTCTCGGGCATATCATCACACCGCTAGGATTTAAGCCCACTTCAGAAAAAGTCGAGGCTATTAACAACTACCCTAAACCTCGCACGGTCGAAGAACTACGCCGCTTCCTCGGAATTATTAATTTTTATCGGCGATGCATTCCCAATGCCGCAAAAACACAAGCTCTAAGCGGACAATGAGCATCTTTAGCTTCTAAGCGGAGCTTGTGTTTTTGCGGCATTGGGAATGCATCGCCGATAAAAATTAATAATTTCGAGGAAGCGGCGTAGTTCTTCGACCGTGCGAGGTTTAAGGTAGTTGTTAATAGCCTCGACTTTTTCTGAAGTGGGCTTAAATCCTAGCGGTGTGATGGTATGCCCGAGAAACACGAGTTCAGGTACCCCAAAAACACACTTATCTGAATTAACGCGGAGATGAAATTCTTCAAGTCGGAGCATATATTACCAATGCGCGCAAGCGCGATAAGCGTGAAATAGTTTAGTCATCGGAAGCCGAATCCGCTTTTCAGAAATGTAAAATCGAATTATCCAATGCTGCCTTGTTAGTATACCCATCTGAGTCAGCCAAAATTAGACTAGTCACCGACGCTTCCGACTTCGCCATGGGCGCAGTACTTGAGCAGTTGTGCCAAGGTTCTTGGAAACCGCTAACCTTTTTCTTTCGCAAGTTCACCCCTACGCAACTTAAATACAGCGCGTATGATAGGGAACTAACTGCGATCTACGATGTTGTACGGTACTTTAAACACTTCATTGAAGGCCGCGATTTTAGCATACTAACCGACCATAAGCCTCTTACACATGCGCTAAACCAAAAATCAGACAAGGCGTCACCGCGTCAAATGCGATACCTGTCCTACATCGCGCAATTTACCACAAAAATTATTCACATTTCCGGTGAACAGAACGTAGTTGCCGATCCTCTATCACGCGTCGAAGCTTTAAGCTTTTCCGACCAGATCACACCGCAAGAACTCTCTACCGGGCAAAACAACGACACTGAATTAGCTGAATTACTTAAGTCTCCCAGATGCTCATTGTGAATGCTCTCTTAAAAGACTGACCTGGGGACCTGATCGCACTCTGCTTTATTGCGACTTAACCAACGAGTACATTCGTCCGTATATCCCTGTTTCTTTACGCAATAGAATTATAACTATGTACCATGCGCCGTCGCACCCCAATGCCAAAGTAACGGATCGTTTAATCCGTCAGCGCTACATTTGGCTGAACTTGCACCGCGAAGTCGCACGGCATTGCAAATCCTGTATGGACTGCCAGCAGTCCAAAATCTCGCGCCATGTCAAGTTAAACCCTGACAAATTCGTTGCTACCGACGGTCGCTTTACTCACGTCCACGTCGACATAGTTGGACCGTTGCCGCCGAGTGAAGGCTACCAATATCTGCTCACCATAATTGATAGATTTTCGCGCTGGCCCGAGGCCGTACCGTTACAGGATACATCTGCGTCTTCCATCGCTCGCGCATTTTACGGTAACTGGGTATCTTGTTTTGGTTCCCCAATGATCATCACCACCGATCAAGAAGCCCAATTCGAATCCCAGTTGTTCACTTCCTTACTTTCGTGTATCGGCTTGCAGCGTATTCGGACCACCCAGCGTCGAATGGCATAGTGAAGCGTTGGCACTGTAGTTTTAAGACCACAATAATGTGCCATGCCGATTCCCGGTGGACACGTACACTTTCAACAGTATTATTAGGATTACGTATGCATTTGCAATTAGACACCGGAGCATCCCCAGCCGATTTTTGTACGGAACATCATTACGCGTACCCGATGAATTCCTTTTATCGCCAAATTTTAAGCCGGACCCATAAATTTTCCTCGAAGACTTTCGAGAATACATGCGCTCTGTTAAACCTGTGCTTGTAACGCATAATTATAATTCAATTCAAGTTTATTCCGGACTCCCTTAGAGGTTGCCGGGGCGTTTTCAAGGGACCGCCAAACCCGTTACATCCTCCTTTTCTCGTTACAATATGTTACATATGCGGCGCTTTTTTCTGATAGGAGCGTTCCCGAACCTTTACAATCCTCCTCTAACCACTCATTACAATTCCATATCAATTCCCTCTGGCACTTTTTTCTGATAGAAGCGTTCCCAAACCTCTACAGTTCCTTTTTATTCCATTCACACCTTCTTTTCCCTTTTCCTCCTTTTTCCATCTCCTTACTCCTCGTCTCCAAATCCTCTCCTTCCCTTTTTCCACTTTCTCCTTCTCCTTCCAGCCGAACCTGCCTTCCTCCTTCTCCTCACTTCTCCATCTCCTCCTTCTTCACCTTTTTCCTGGCAGGTATGTGGGATGATTGGCTCGAATTGGATTCGAACCTGGGACCTTAGGTATACTGTCTTACGACTTAACCCACTGATCTACCATTTCACCTCTATAACGCATAATTATAAGTCAAGAGCATTTTTCTTCGAAGATTTAGCTTCGTGTACACACGTATTTATGTTAGCCAAAGCAAAAAAGTCATTAGAGCGACCATATTCTGGTCCCTATAAAATTTTGGAACGCAACACCGATCGTGTTTACACGATAGAAATTAACGGTAGTCCTCGCAGTGTTTCTGTGGAAAATTTAAAACCCGCATATTTCGTTCCGGATACGGTACTTCTACCAGAGTTACCTCAATCGCGCGATCCACAACCTTCTACTAGCTTTAAGCGTTCTGTAACATTTAGTGATAAGCGAGTGTGTAAATTAACGACTCCGTCTAGTCCATCTAAAGCTTTGCGTCCAATTTTAAAAACATATTCGCGCCTAAAATAATTAATATATTTTATATTAAGCATAGTTTTAAGTTTTCAAATATTATATTATAATGTTTCATTTTATTTTGGGGAGGAGTACTGTAGGCATGCGCCTATTTATAGCCAATAGCGCCTCTCCGCCTTTTCCTCCAACGCTTGAGATATCGGGGACTAACGGTTTTCTGCCGTAGAGACATCATTCCCTCTCGTCTCTCGTTACTGGCTATTGACTGTATCCATTGTCTTGAGTACATTTATAATAAATATTAGTTATTATAAAGAGGAGTCAAAGTAATCCCTTCCATCGTGGTCAATGAGTATTCTATGGCGTAAAGTCAATTAACCGCCACAACACAACAGGCGTATAATTAACAGACATTAGACAATTCATCAGTACGTTAGAGTATTTGTTTTGTGTCCAAAAAATTTTCAATTTCGATGTTATTAGTTACGTGAATGTCAAAAATAGACTGATATGTAATCATATTTTCATGTATTTTTATATACAATGACTATGACTTGTCAGTTAATTTTTCAAGAATATCAAAATACTAAAATAGCTACTATCAAGCAATTCAATGTCTTCTCGCACGAAAAAAACTACAAGAATACGAAAAAATTACTGATATAATAATAGTTTTTCAATAATATGTTATTGGTATACCAGTAATTTTTTCGTATTCTTGTAGTTTTTTTTCGTAAGGGTTTATTGGAATTAATACTGTTTTTATATGTAACATTTCAGATACGAGTCTTTTATGATTTTTTTCCCGATCCATAATTTTCACGTTTTCCCAATCAAAGGTGTGTCGTTCATTTAAAATGTGTTCTGATATCACTGAATGTCTTTTGTGAGTCTAACTTATATAAATGTTGTTCATGTCCTTTAATTCTGATGCACAATTGTCTTTTTGTCTAACTTACATATGATGCATCACAGTTTTTGCAATTTATTTTGTAAATTATATTAGAATTTTTTTTACCTTACGTAAAAAAAATTTCAGAAAAAATTGCATTAGTGGTAAAAAAAGATTCTTTGATCAGTGACAAAAAAATTGGATACCGTTGTATTAAGAAGTTGAATGGCTTTATAAGAGCAGTACAAAAAGATGAAAATGATCAAAACAAAAATTCGAAACAAAGCTTCTCCTTTACAAAGAAACAAAAATTATTCCTTTTTTAATTAAAAATATTTTATTAATTAATAAATTTTCAATTTCAGTTATAAAAAACATAACGTATTTTTATTTATTTTTATGAAACAATAATATGTATACATATACATATATAAAAGTGGTTTTTTTATTTTTGCTAGTCACTGTAGGTACTACTTTCCTTGAATTTGTATACTATATATGATGTAAGTCTAAAAAAAAGTTTAAAAGTTTTCGAATGTTCCTTAAAAATTCTAAAATAATCAAGTCTATTCACAACGTTAATAGGTATTTTTATTCTTTGTATTTTTTTATATAAAATAATTATATAATATTATGTCATCATATATAAATATCTACTCAAGTTGTACAATTAATGTTACTAAGTTTGTAAAACTAATGCAAAAAGTAATTATGCTAAAATTGATGGAATTATGTATAAATAAAAAATAACGTTAATTCATGTAATTATCAAATACATTACTGCTTCATGATATGAGTTATAAGAACTGTGTATTTTATATTTATATATATATATATATATATATATACGCGCGCGCGTGTTGTGTGTGTGTAATATTAGATAAAAATTTGTATAATATTAAATTTATTTAACGAGAACTCGAACTTTTCAAAAAATGAGATTACAAATTGTGCAATTATAATAACACAGTCAATATGTTTACACATATACCTTCAATAAAAATAAGGCGAGAAAATAAATAAATAATAAATAATAGAGATTTTTCTGTGGGTGACAAAATGTTACATTTTGCACAATATGGTAACAAACTAAAAAGGTTAACATTAAATATTACAATTTGTTATAACTCTTTCTTACTTTTATGCAATATTAAAGAAGAAAGGAATGAAACAATTTATATATATATATGTATGTATGTATGTATGTATATATGTATGCGTGCGTGCTTGCGTGCGTGCGTGCGTGCGTGCGTGCGTGCGTGCGTGCGTGTGTGTGCGTGTGCGTGCGTGTGTGTATGTGTGTGTGGTAAAAAACTTACATACACAACAGAGAAAATGACCTCCAGAGTCATTAATTTATACAATTGGAAATGTATATAGAGTTAAAAAAGGTAGTTCCTACAAAAAGGCAAGAACTATGTTGTGTAAGTGTATATACAATATATGCATAGTTTAAAAAAATGACTAATATGTAAAAATCTCTTTTGTATCTGTCAGATTTTTCTTTTTTTTAAGTTTATAGTAACGCGCTAATTCTTACATTTGTACATAATAGATAAATTAATGATTGCCACGCTCACTCATCGAGTCACAAGATATGTCAGAGGCATCATGCTTTAATCGTCTCGTCAATGTACACTCATCTAACATCCTAGTGTTGTCATAATTGCCTAATCTTCGCGATAATGTACCCGACAGATTAATACTATCCGTCATTAGTAGACTGGCGCTTTTATGATTTTCTATATTTTCATTACCGTTCCTCTCCGATTTGTCAGATCTTAATGTATTGTTTAAACTATGATCAAATTTTCTGAGATCATTTTGAATACTTTTGATAGTATCGTTGCTGTTCTCGTACCTTCGCATTAAGTTGCTCTCATTCTCGTATCTACGATTAATGGAATCTGAATCGAAACACTTTCTAAAAGTGTCGTCGTATCTTTGATTCTCAACAATCTTCCTAGAGAACGCAGTGTCATAATGTTCCATCTCTATGCATCGTTGATTTACGCTGTCCAATTCGTACGTCCGCTTCGTTAATTGATTATCAAATCCTGCTCTACTAGCTAAGTGGAGGTAGTTGTCATCACCAATGGGAGCTTGTCTATAGAAATATAATATATTATTGTTTTTGATTCCTTAATTTTCTTGCTTAATTTTCGCAATAACATCGCGTTTGGCTCTATGGCCGAGAAGGAGGAGGTATATATTGTGTTTTATATTAAAAGAGCCGATCTAATTCTTATTATTGATTATTATTTTTTGTAAATATTCTAATCCAATAAATACGATGATCAAAATAACATAAGAATATATTTAAAAAAACATGTTCTTGATGAAATAATCAAGCTTACTTGCTGCCGTATTTGGTGTCACGTGCCAGTCTTCTAAAATAGGCTCTATGTTCACGTTGCAGTGCATACGCAGCCTCTCTAAGGGCGTTTAAAGTCTTGAAACAAGAAGGTACATCTTCTATAGGTGATCCTCCGTCTGGTATAACACATATATCACTAGCACCATAAACTGCTTGGCATTCGCATGCATTCATTAATGTTTCGAGGCGTGGCATGTTTGTAAAAATTAACGAATGTATCCTCTGCAAATCACGATCTGGATCTAGGACCATTCGCAATCCAGCCTCTACACCTGGCGATACTTCACTACATCCTGGTGCAACTTCTGCAACTGCCCGACAACTATAGATTTTGGAAACATAGAGATTAAAACGCTAATACAAGTTTTATTTAGACATCTGATATGTGCTTTTATAGTGGTTTAGTAATTATGTATGGTAGAATACGGTCTTTTCCGAATTTTGATATTTTTTAGTTTCAAATTTTCCTAATAAAAATCTCTTTGTTGTGACTATGACAATGATGATCAATGGGGGAGTCCGAAAAAATGCATGATATGTTTTACTTTACATAGGAATATGTTAATCTTTTTAGTATCTATTTTTATAAACTATTGCAGAAAAGCAAGATTACGAATCTTCCAAAGTACATGAGTGGATACAATGGGTTCCGCCCTTCTTACAGAGAACTCTATTTCTAGAAGATATAATCCAAATCTAATTCAAACCTATTTCTAATTTACCTCTGCGAAGTTAGCTCCTCATTTTTTTTTAATTGAAAAAGAAAGTAGAGTTCTGAGTGCCCCTCGGAGAGTTCCACAGTTCTCAGTTGATTTAAGAAAGAGTTCTGCTATTTGAACTAAAGAAAGCACCATTTAAAAAATCGGGGGGCTAACTTCACGACGCCCCCATTCTATAAAAAATTCAATTTTTTTTAGAGTTCTGAAAAGATTTCAAATAGTTCTAGAGTTTCTAAAAAAGGAACAAGGGGAATTTTGAGATCTCAACCACAAAATACAAATTCTTAAGTTTCTTAATTTTTGCTATAACATCGCGTTGCTCGCTTGGTCGATATATATATATATATATATATATATATATATTAGTTCTAGAGTTCTAGATAAGTTTTAAAAATAGTTCTGCTCAAAATAACACAAAAATTAAATTTGAAAACCTTGACTCAAAAAATAAAAATTACCGATAACTCATTCAATTTTGGTCTTAGCGCGTCGAATCTTAATAAATTATCTTTAATGAATTTCTTTAGAACTCGTGAGGGGCTATCCAGGACACTTAACATCGAATTTCCGAAAATAATTTTTTATGTATCAAATAAAATTTTTTTTTTTTAATCTGACATTCTATTGACAGTTCTGAGTAGCCCTTCACGAGTTCTAAAAATAATTAAAACTCGAAGCGTTAAAACCAAAATGGAACGAGTTAATACCGATTTTGCCTCTCGGGCCGAAAAATTCCAAGTTTCACGGATCAAAATTTTTTTCGGAAATTCGATGTTTTCTTCAGTTCTGAATAGAATAATTTAAAATAAACTTATATAATTTAAAATAAACTTATAATTTAAAATATATACATCTTTTGGTAGAAGCTTTCTTACCGCGACAAGATGTATGTCGAGAAAGTTTTTTTATTTTTTAATTTTTATGTCTTTTATTTTTTTATTTTTTTTATTTTTAGTTTTAATTTTTTATTTTATTTTAATTTTAGCCGAAGTACCACTACTAAACCTTCGCCTTTTCTCCTTCTCTCCTACGGTCACCCTCGCCAATATATTATATATACATACATATATATGGTGTGTGTGTGGGTGGATGGGTGTGGGTGTGGGTGCGGGTGCGTGCGTGCGTGCGTGTGTGTGTCTACATACATATATATATATATATATATATGTGTGTGTGTGTGTGTATATATATATATATGTATATATAAGTAAAACTGCACAAAAAATATAAAAGCATTCCTGCTTTAATTTTTTATTACATTATATTAAATGACGTCTAAAAAAAAGCGTAAGGATTTTCGTTATACGCAAAAAGTGCTAAACGTATCTACAATGTTTAGAACTCGTCGGGGGCTAAAAATATTCGACCCAAAAACGAAAATCAGTGATAACTCGTTTCATTTTGGTTTTAGCGCTTCGAGTCTTAATAATTATCTTTAGAACTCGTGAGGGGCTACTCAGAATTATCAATAGAATGTCGGATTAAAAAAAATTTTTTTTATTCGATACATAAAAAATTATTTTCGGAAATTCGATGTTCTGTCAAGTGTTCTGGATAGTCCCTCACAAGTTCTAAAGATAATTATAAAGATTCGATGCGCTAAAACCAAAATTGAATGAGTTATTGATAATTTTCATTTTTTGAGTCGAGGTTTTCAAATTTAATTTTTGTAGTATTTTGAGCAAAACTATTTTTAAAACTTATCTAGAACTCTAGAACTATATTTGAAATCTTCTCAGAACTCTCAAAAATTGCATTTTTCATAGAATGGGGGCGTCGTGAAGTTAGCCCCCTGATTTTTCAAATAGTGTTTTATTTAGTTTAAATAGCAGAACTCTTTCTTAAATCAACTAAGAACTGTAGAACTCCTCGAGGGGCACTCAGTGCCGGTTTTAGCAACATTGGCGCCCTGGGCAAGATTATCGTGGCGCCCATTCAATTTTCGATATCTTTACTAGCCTAAACGGATATAAACGAATGCACGCATATAAAAATTTAGAAAACTTTCCTTTAGCTTTACCCAGAGCTAACGACGTGGACGTAGAAAATTTTTGTAGCTCCTTTTTTTTGTTTTTTTATATATTTATATTTTTTTTATATTTTTATTTTTGTATTTTTTTGTATTTTATATCCCATACAGCACAGATTATTGCAATTATATTGCAGCAACGTTGCAAGTTGCAATGCAACATTATAAAGACATTGCAGAGATATAAGTGCACAAAATTCCAGCACACTTGTAGCAACATGACATTAATATTTCGGAAATATTGCATGTAATCCAAATTCTATAATTTATATATTGTAATATATATATAAATTAACTACAACGTATTTTCATTAATGATTTATTTACATTTATATACCTGTATATGCAACATTAGTTTATGGTTGCAATAACAATGCATTATTGCAAACTCATAACATATTGCAATATTGTTGTAATATTTTGTTGCAATCTTCCAAAAAGCGGACATTTTAACATTGCTGCAATTCAACAGTAATGATGTAGCAACATTTTGCAGTAAATTTGCAATATTGCAATATTGCGGTGAAAGATTGTTGTAATGTTTTTGCAATCTATCGGTGCTGTATGGGATACTTTTATTATTTTGGATTTCTTAGAGGACAAAGCTTAAACTAGAGTTTTTGAGAGATTACGGAAGTTTATTAAAATTTCACTTTTCGGGCCTTTTTATCGGCAAACACTCGAATCAAATCGGTGTAATTCAAGTTTGCTGCAATTTCATTTTCAATTGAAAGAGTAGCTAAGTTAGTAAGTCTTGTTTGTGAAATCGTTGATCGAAGATAAGTCTTTATTAACTTAAGTTTCGAAAAACTGCGTTCTCCGCTAGCTACCGTTACAGGTATAGTTACCAAAATGCGCAACGCGATCCATACATTTGGATATAGCGCTGTTTAATAAAATTTAAAACGTAAATAGGAGTAATATTATCGTCATCTAGAAAAAATTTTTTAAGACTTATGAGTTCATCACACAATAAATAACCATCTATATCGGAATCGGAACCAACAGTAAGTTTTCCAACAAAAGAATCAAAAGATATACAAAGGTATAGAGAGCATGTCAGGGTATAACACAGTGAGGAGATATAGGTACTCTTGCATACTAGGGGGCACTAGAGTCCCTCTAATAAGAGTCGCGACATCTTATTAGAGGGACTCTATGGGGCACCGGGCAGCAGCGCCCCTACAGATCCGGCGCCCCGGGCAGTCGCCCCACTGCGCCCTACCCTAAAGCCAGTACTGGGGGCACTCAGAACTCTTTTTTTCAATTTAAAAAAATGAGGGGTTAACTTCACAAAAGTAAGTTCGGTTCCACAATTCATTTAAACCAAAGTTTAACTGAAAATCCGGAAAGTATAAAGTATTGAAAAAAGAAGTTAAAAATAGATTAATTACATTTTTTGGACTCCTTCCATTGATTATCATTGTCACAATAAAGGTTTTTATAAAAAAAATTGCAAAAAATATCAAAATTCGGAAAAGACCTTATTCTATATAATTATTTTTTTTTTTTGACATACCAAAGCCAATGACCATTAATGTATGCACTTGGATGATATTTTTCTAAACGATTGCTGTTTGTTTGACATATTTTTGTAAGTATGTCAATCCATTCTTTTTCTTCAACGCAATTACCGGCTTGCACATACAATGCTCTCTGTGGTTGGATAATTTGAAACATGTTTTTCATTTTAAAGGAGTCTTCGTGAAGTCTCTCCACTGCTAAAATTTCTTCTAACGGTATCTTACACAAAGGTTCTTTACCTGTGTAAAAAGTTTGTTTTATAAATTTTTATATTTTTTATCTCTTGAAACAAAAATGCATTAGAAGAAAGTACTCACCTTTCGTTTTAGAATATGTCAAATCTTGTGTAGTAAGTCTAAAATATCTCTGTTTAAAATTCTTACGACCAAATCGTTTTCTGCCTTGTGCCCGTTTAATCATTATTCTATAAAAAGTAATTGCAATTAAAAATTCTCATAGAATGTGCATACATATGTACATATATATGCATGTATGTATGTAGCAGCAAATTTAAACTTGAATCTTATAAAATAGTACAAACCTCTTATTACAATCAATTGTATGCATAACGAGAAAGTATATTCTATTAAAAATATATATATATAATATTTAATAGTTTATAAGTTTATAGAATAATTATATGTAGAGAATTATATGTAGAATAATTATATGTATATAAAGTTTCAGTATTACGATTTTAAACAATAATATAATTTTCTAAAAATATAATTTTAAAGATAAATCTGATATTTTAATGTAATTACACTTTTCAATTATATGTATAAACTCCATAAGAAAATGACTAAAGTACATTGCTTATCTTTATCAACAAACGTACCCTTCTTTTAGTACTACTGGTTGTTCTTGCAACATTGTCGAACGCTGTTTTGTAAAACTACTAGAATTACTACTAGTCGATATTAGCTCCAGAAATTGCTTGACTGCTTGAATATGTCTATCTGTGTAAAACTCCCTACAAAAGAATTAAATTATACATATAATATTTATTAAGAAAATAATTATATATATATAATTATTTCTCTTAATAAATATTATATAAAAAAGGACTCAAAATTGGTGACATACAAATAAATTCTTTTTGAATTCGCTGTGCTATCTGGGATATTATTATATTAATATGTTATTTATATTATTATATTATATTATTAGAATATATTATATAAATATAAAGAAATATAGAGTTTGTATTTATATTTTCTTTTTTAGTTTCGACTACCTTAAATCACCAAGTTTTCATTATTTTTCTTAAAACCTATTTTCTTACATAAAAAAACTCTTACCTATATACACATTCCATATATTCCTCTTTGCAAACACTGCCTGCACCACCTCTGCAAGACACCAGATTTCCCAGACTTTGAATCGTTTTGGATATTAATGTTAATGTCCTATTAGTCTGTGAATCCTGTGAAACATTACATGTAAATTTAATAAAAAAAATTGTAATTGTATTAATGCACATGCAACATGTAATGTTACATGTATATTGCTCAATTACTTACAATTTGTTCGGTAGTGATATCAAATAATCTTGGACCTAATATTGCAGGAGCGAAAAATCGTAAAAAGATAAATCCACTGATCACCGAGTATCTCACTTCTTTGTTTTTTGGAAAATGTGTTGCGGCGAGTTCTCTTAAACACCAGAACATTTCGCACATCAAAGGTGGACATCTCACTCCTGATGTTGTTATAGCCGTAAATATTCTTTCAACATATTCCTAACAGAAAAAAAAGAATATATCTTTTTTTCGTTCAAAAGAGGATAAATGCACATTTTTGTAATTATTAATACCTTCAAGTTCTCTAAATTGGTCTGTATAGTATTGCTGTCCTTAACTCGAGTTGGATCTATTTCGCATTGTTTTTTGTCAAGGAAAACTTGCTCCATTGCAGGTCTAAGAGTACTATGCAGGTAATGAAGACCTGCTAATCTCATGCCCTCGTCCATCATCTTGCTCACTAATGTATTACCGCGAAAAATTGTCGTTGGGTCACTTTAATAATTTAAAAAAAAACAAAAAAAAAGGAAAAAACAAAAGAAAAAATTGAATTTATTATAGTCATTACTTATCATGACTATAATATATGAATAATACGACATTTACATTAAATATAAAAGTACATATCTGTCTATCTACTCACGTCAATTTAGAAATCTCATGACTAGCAAGTGCTCGCATTACAGACACTAGTTGTCCATGATGCACCAATACTCTGACTAATGGTTGCGCAGCTTCCATTTTACTAGCTACAATTTCGCCCAATATATAAACGGCCGATGATGTTATCGGCTGTACTTTGACGCTTTGCAATAATAGACTCCTAAGTTTGTCATACATTTCAGATGGAAATACATGATCGGCCGTGTAATGAATTTTCAAACGTAACGAGCCCAAACTTGGTATTGTACCAGGTGACGTCGAGTTATTTGAAATCTTACACGGACGATGTTTCGCTGCTCTGGGTTGTAAAAAATACCTACGCCCAAAATAAAGTAATGCAATTTACTCGAAAGTTAAATCTATGACATTAATTAGAAAAAGCCGCATACCACGCAGTTGATGTACTAGTTGGTTGCTTCTGTAATCCTTTCAGCGTGACTCGAATTTCACCGAGAAATACCGATTGTTCACCCATACCAGGAGATGCATGCCACAAACTAACAACTACTTCTCCAACTTCAGCTCCTTCCATAGAATAATGAGAAACATCTTTATCCTTGATTTCCATTAACTCTGGCTATAATATAAAAAGGGATTTTGTTGTCTTTTCTTTTCTCTATTTCTGAAGAATTATGCATAATGCACTTTCTTACCTCAAATACAAAAGTTTCATTAAAATATGGAGACGCTGTTTTTTTCCTAACTTTTGTGCGTTTTGATATTTGTTTACCATTACTGTAGATGACTGTAACAGTTGCAAAGGGATCACAGCTACCATTTTTAATAGTTAATTCGCTACATTCTATTATCCTGCAACAATACATAAAATTACATAATCAAAAATTTATATTAATACATTTATATATTGCACAAGTAGATATATACATGTTGATATACACAATACACATTAACTTTACTTACCTTACTGTAAGTTTAGGCTGAGCATGTTCAACCTGAGGCTGCAAAGCAAGTTCCAGATGAACCTTGCCTTGGACCTCAGAGTCAGCATTGACTGGTTTCAAAGGAAACCAATGCTCTTTATTATGATATGTTGCTAAATCCTCTCTTTTTATTGCAACCTTGCCCAAAATCTTATCTTGCTTTAAATGTCTATCTCGATCATATACATAAATGCCAAGGTAACGAAATTTTCTAGGCACTTCAAACTGAAACTCCTCTCCGAAAAATGGGCTATTTAACATAAGACACAAAATATTTATTTGTAAATAATTTAAATCGACTATAATAATGTCTAAAATATAAAACGAGGAAAGATTTACTTGAGAGTTCTTTCCATAGTCGTCGTTCTGAATATTTCCTCCTGATCCAGCGATAGAGTGCAATAAACATCCCTTGTACTTGGAGATCCATGACTTCGACTTTGAAGATTTTTTGCTTCTCCTATGAATGAAAATTAATACATAAAATAAACTTGTAATGTCATTTATTAATATTTCTTGAGAATTAAATTTGAGAGATATTAATTCGCATTATAATCACATTATTCTAAACAATTGTTTAAATAATTATAATTTAAATATATTTAATATAACTTGAATAGAATTATTCTTCAAAATAACTTATAGCCAATAATTATTATTATACATTACTCATTAACTTCTAGCCAATACTTGTTTGCTAATAATTATTTATATTGTGCAAGAAATCTTCAATTTATATCTTATTAATTACTGTATAATCATGATTTCGTCGTTTATCATCGTTCATTTCTCGATAAATTGTTTTAAAATCAAATTCTAATTTTATTTTAAAATATTTAAATATTGTTTCAATAAATCTTTTGCACTTAGCATTAATGCGCATTTTAATTTTATATTGTTTATTTAGCAGTTTCCCAAACTTTTTGGCTTACCGCCCTTTTTCAAAGATAATTTTTTCAGCACCCACCTCGCAAAATCTTTATCTTTATCTCAACTAATAATAAAATTGTAAGCAAAGCTGAAATGAAATAATTTGAAAGTGAAATTTTAAAGCCATTTATTAAAATAAAATAACAAAGAAATTGCACATAAACATGTAAGATTGCTCACTATTATTAGCAATTTAATCAAATATAAAATAAATCTATAAATATTAAGAATATTTTATCAATTTCCAAAATAAATAAATAAATAAATAATATATATATATATATATATATATATATAGAGAGAGAGAGAGAGAGAGAGAGAGAGAGAGAGAGAGAGAGAGAGAGAGTTATTGCGAATATTATGTATATAAAATTAATTAGGAAATTAGGAATTTGTATCTTGTGATCTCTAAATTCCCGTATTCCTCTTTTAACCTCCCCCCCCTGTAAAGAAATAGGCGAGAAAAATATTGGTCCGAAAGTCGGCTGAATCAGGAATCTAACCCAAGATCCTAAATCTATAAATATTAAATTCTCCATATGAAATTTATATAAAGTGAAAAATAATTACTAATGATAAGGATGAGTCTGGTGTGCTGCTATTTATTTATATTTGTCAACAGCATCCTTAAATCTCCGCGACCTACTATTTGCAGTCGATTCTTCTTTATATAAATAAATTTGCTTAAAAAGATATTTTAACGCCCCTCTATTGTCTCTAAAATGAGCAATACTCCCTCCCCCTCCCATCATGTCCCATAGTGCTCACAAGGAGGCGCCCACTTTGGAAAACTCTGTTCGCGAACTACAGAAATCAACATTTTTATAAACTTGTGAGGAGAAAGTTAAATTAATTGATTGGATACAATATTACACTAAGCACTATTTTATTTATCGTGTCTCACGATTCGATTTTTCACCCAAAGAATATTATTTGTATGGACACGTACAAGTGACAAATAGTAATGGCTGTGGTCAAGATTGTACTACAAAATGCTTTGAAACATTATTCTATTTTTGTTCTACATTCCCATGAATATATATAAAGATACAATAATGTTTTAAAGCATTCGTAGCTCGTAGCACAGTTTTGAGCAGCCAGTATAATAAATAACAAATAATAAGCACGAAATAGAGACAAAATCATGTAGTTATCCAAAACATAGCTCGAAATTTTTGAAAAATTTTCAAAAATTTCGAGTTGTGTTTTCGAACAACTTCTCTATTCCGTACTCACTGCTTGTCACCATAATTCATGGATTGTTCAAAATTTTCAAAAATTTTCGAAAATTTCGAGTTGTGTTTATTCGAATAAGTACAATCTCGCCTCTGTTCTATGTTTACAGTTCGTCACCGTTATTCCGAGGTGTTCGAAATTTTCTAAAATTTTGAGCTGTTTTCAAACAAGTACGATCGCCTCTTTCTCTCTCTCTCTTTCTCTGTTCGTGTTCACTGCTGTCACCGTTGTTCACGGAATGCTCAAAATTTTCAAAATTTCAAACTAACTATTTTCAAATAAGTACGATCTCATCATTATTCCGTGCTCACTGCTTGTCATCGTCGCTAAAAATTTTCAAAAATTTTCAATACGCGTTTATTTCACGATGGCGATTCTCTCATCGTACACATTTTCATGCAGCACACGCGCAAACACATCTCCACAGGCATATACATGAGTGCGAGACATACACACACATACTATACATACTATACATACATACATACATACATACATACATACATACATACATACATACATACATACATACATACATACATACAGACATACATACATACATACATACATACATACATACACATACATACATACATACATACATACATACATACATACATACATACATACATACATACATACATACACACACACACACACACACACACACACACACACACACACACACACACACACACACACACACACACACACACACACACACACACACACACACACACACACACACACACACACACACACACACACACACACACACACACACACACACACACACATACACACATACATACATACATACATACATACATACATACATACATACATACATACATACATACATACATACATACATACATACATACATACATACATACATACATACATACATACACACACACACACATCTTTGCATGCATGTGTATACGAGACACGCACGCGTGGGAGTTAAGAGTGTATGCGTCAATCACTAGCGAAATTCGCATAAAAATTGGACGGTACTCGTCGGATCACGTTCGTTGAATCGTATCGCATTAATTCGCGTACATCGGACACGGGAACTCATCCATTTCGCGACAAGTGTTTCGAGGAAAGGCAGTGAAAAGGTGAATACGAGATCGTGGGAGTCGAATTAGGTGACATCCTGAGAGCGCAGCACGGAAACGACTCGCGTTCCAGAAATTGCATTCCCCCCGAATTTTACTCGTAGCGTTCGACGAACACGTATGTATTTATGTTCACGAATCACTCTCGTTCGGTGCTTTTTTGCGCGCAATAGCGGCTTCCTACCGATTTTAATCCTTAGCCTCTCTTCAACGCGAACTAGGCGCGTCTCCTCGGCCATGTTACCTCCATGACACTACTGAGTGACTACCTACACGAACAGAGCGCGAACGGTTCGTTCATTCTGTGAATGGATCTAAGCAGGGCTGTGACGCGACGCGTCGGTGCCCCCAGCCGGGTGTACATGTACATACATCACGATCTCTCTTCCATGTTTCTCGTCATCCCCACCCGTTATCACGCGATATGTGCCATTACTTCCGCTGCTTCACCAAGGTATATACGCGCCTTACAAATATATAAATAAAAAAAAAGAAATGCATACGTAGAGGCATCAATGGATTTTGATGTCAATATAATAATGAGGGAGTTGAATTTTGGCAAAATTATTTGGTTCGACATTTTTCTCTTGGTATTACATTTTTACTTCAGACTCAACAATAAGGATATGGTAAAATTTGTAATGCTATATTTTCATTTTTTTTTAATTTTTATATTTTATCATTAAAAATTATTTTGAAAGGAATTTTATAATTCCAAACCTCCTCTTATAGGCTCCGCTAGTATACAAAAGAGAGTTATATGTATACGCATATTACGTTTTCAATTCTTTTGTTACACTATTAGAGTATACTTGGAATAGAGAATTCATGTAAGTGACAATAACATATTGCCTATTGTTACAATTACTATCATATCTCTATAACAGCAATAATAGAAATTAATTAATATTTCAATATTTATAAAAATTATGTAAAAATATATATTTTCTATAAAAAATTTGTCAGGATAAATACATACATATTTTTTATAAAATAAAATCGATAATCGATATAAATGTGCAATATAATGCGAAAATTATTGAGAATACAAAGACTGCCTCTTTCTTTTTTATTAATATGCGGTGCTGCTAATAGTAATATAACGACAGATTATTCTCGTTCGCATCAACGATAAAGAGTCAATGAATTTGTTCGCACCAATCATATGTTTTTCGATAAAAAAAGGCGTAATATTTTGTTTATAAAATATATACCACACACATATACGTGTATATATATGTGTTACATGTTATATAGTAAGTGTAAAAAATACTAAGGTTAATTAAGTGATTAATAATTTTTTTATTAATACATTAATCTCTCTTAATGAACAAAACAAGTAAGATAGGAAGAAAACTATTAAGTATTCCGGAGCCAAAAATTAAGTAAGTTTAATCTTTCTGTGTAAAATCATTAAAATACCTTTTTTTCTTCCATGTTTTTTCTCTTATTACCTTTTCTCTCCCTACTTCTATTTTGTTCTTAACTGGATATTATTTTTTCGTATGTATAGGATTAAAATTGCGTAATTTATGCTTAACTCTCGCATTTTAATTTCCCATTGCAATCTTTTCATGTGTTGTGTCGCTCAGCAAAATCATACGTATACGTAATTAAGGAATTCGGACTTTCCAGACAATTCAATCATTACGTTTTTCCATGTGATGATTCATTACTAGTAACATCCACATATATCTGTAATATGACAGCCTGTATGATCGCTATGGGAAATCACATACTATATCTTGATATATATATGTCGGATATTTGACAATTTAAAAGACTCTCCCCCTGTCTGCTCTTCTCTCTTTCTCTGTGCATGCATGTTTATTTTTAAGATTAAAGAAAATGTTACCAGAGTAATTAAGAAATAAGTTACAAGTAGTAAAAAAATGTGAGTAAAAAACAAACACGATAGTTTGAAAACATTGTAATACAATTTCGTTGAACAAATGCACAGAAGAATATATGTATATTTTATGAAGTAGTGAAAATGTATATATCTATATAATGCCTTATAGCTGATTGTAAGATATAAAACGATGCAAAAAAATTGAATTGTTTAAGAAAATGTTACATGAATATGTTATTATTAATGTAAACTAGATTTGTATACAAATAGATATGAGAAAGCTAATAAAGATCAATCAATCAATCACTCAAGTACTCCCCCTATACTCTTCCCCTTTCTCTCTCAACTCACGGTAGTGTATATACATGCACACATGGTTAAACCACTAATGATTGCGCCATTCCAATTCGCTGTTTCTCTCTTTTTTGCAACCCTCTCTCCCCTTGCCTTCCCTAAGTACACATAAGAATATAAGAATATAACATATCCCTAATAGCACAACATATCCGAAAACATTCAGAGGATATTCAAAGGATATCCTCTGAATGTTTTTCGCATATGTTGTGCTATTAAGAATGTTATATTCTTATAAACTTGGCAAACTTGGATTTCGACGTAACTAGCAATTCTATTTAATTCTTTCACGACGTTTCGACCATTTGGTTGTGGTCCTTATCAAGTGAAAATTCCATTAATTAAACTGAGATTAACGCAACATCACACCGGTCTTATTTAAAATTAATAGTTAAAAGAGGAACACGTCCCATCGCTATGATGTTTCGTCAACGACTCATAATTTTAAATAAGACCGGTGTGATGTTGCGTTAATCTCAGTTTAATTAATGGAATTTTCACTTGATAAGGACCACAACCAAATGGTCGAAACGTCGTGAAAGAATTAAATAGAATTGCTAGTTACGTCGAAATCAAGTTTGCCAAGTGTATTTTCACCACTAGCGTCCATTATTAATTTTGATTGATTATATTCTTATATTCTTTTCATCATCTTTAGTGTGCTATAGCTATTGCATATGCGACATGATACAGGCATGTAGACGCGCACCAGTTTGATCGGTTTAACTGTATGCGTGTGTAAATGGTGAGCCACTTCCTGATGGCGCAATGGCCCTCTTCCTCTCCCCCTTCATCTCCCTTCATTCCTTACACGGATCATATCTCCCCTCTCTCTCTCTCCCTCCTTCCTTTCCTTTCTCCCTCTTCATCTTTTCACTCCCTCTCCCTATATAAATGTGTTTTACAAAGGAGTGAAAATATATATAACGCCTTTTCACCTGAGATGAAAACGATATGGAAAAAAATGAACCTTAAACAAATGTTAAAGAAGTATATTATGATTAATGTAAATTAGATAAGTATTATACAAATAGCTAAGAAAACCAAAAAAGCTCAATCAATGAATCCTTCCTCCCTCTGCCCCCTCTCTCTTTCTCTCCATACATGTATATTGTCTCTTTGGTCTTTTTATTCTGTCACACTTTCTCTTTCTGCTCACTCATTTTTCTTTTGTTTATTATTAATAAAATACAAACAAATCTTTTCTTATACATTCTCTTCCAAAATACACTATATGGAATCTTATTAATATGTAATAAAATTGTAGATGTGAAGTCGAAGATATAAAATTTTATTCCTTCTTTCTCTCTCCCTCTATGCATAATAAAAAAATAACAGTATCTAAATATTGATGAAAAACAAAAAAAGAAAGAATTTTTTTTGTTATTCCATACAAGTACACATTTGATATCAAACGCAATCAATTTGAAACAATATGTTGATTTTTAATCAATATCGTAAAAATTTTCACAAGAAATCGCGACACATGCTGATCTAATAGCGCATAAATAAAAATAAATAAAAAATATGTTTAAAAATATGAAAAATAAAATATATAAAATATAAAAAAATTAAATCTAGATAAATTTTTTCGTCTCCATTTACACATCAACTTTTGATGCATTTCGTGATGCATGTTTGAATCTTCGCTTATTCAATGTAATTAATTTAACTGTTAATTGTAAAAATGTATAATCTCAAAGCTACCTAGATAGAACCTGTCCCGTTCTTTTGCATGACTTTCACGGAATTTCCCACGTAAATTTCCCAGATATACGCTAGTGTACGATCATCTCGTATAATGACGACGGACTCTGCCTGTAATAAGTAGGGAATTGTATTTGCGCTTTTTAATAAAAAGGTAAAAAAAATTTATGATCTTCCTGTGTATTATTGCGTTTATATTTTCAAGCAATACACATGCGTTGTGTAAATCAAGCTCACATGAGATAATATAATTTAATATATGTTTTGCATAATTTCACTATCAAAAAAAGTAGAACTCGTGATTTCTGGCGATAATTCTTTCATAACAAACTTACTTAATTAGAGAATCACGTTTCTTTGTCACATATGCACATTGTTACACGTTGATGCAAGTGTCCTTTCAATTTCGTAAACATCTATTCATATAAATACCCACTTATTAGAAATAGATTTATTCTTAGAAAAATTTTTTTAGTATTTTTGGATAAATATTGTTTACATTTTAATAATAATATTTTGTATAATGCTTCCATCTTAGCAATATTACGCGATTGCTGATTATTGTGTGCATTTGTGTGTACGCGTGTACGAGTTACAATATGAGAAAGTTTTCCAAGAGGCAATTAAGAAGGAGCATGGGAACATATATCTAGCAATCTCACAAGCTTCGTCTATAAAATTGAGGAGCAAAGAAAATTTGTTTACTACAAAAAATGTTGTGATGGCAGTGAGCTTCTGCCATTAGGATTTATAATTAATTAGACAAATCGAAGACTTTGTTACAATGAAAGAGAGAGAGAGAAAGAAAGAAAGGGAGGAAAAGAGAAAAAAGAAGTTAAAATCCTTGATTTGTCTAATTAATTCTAATAAATGATCTTGTGTAATAAATAAATATATATATATATATATATATATATATATATATATATATATATATATTAACACTCTCTTATATATACACTCATCTTAGTCGGCTACCAAAAGATAACAATAAAATGGAGAGAGAAAATATATGAGAAAGGAAATTGTGCGAAATATGGCGCATAAAAGTGTGACGACCGACCAAGCATTATCAATAATGATCAATCGGAAACTGTTAAAAAGACATTGTCAAATCTTTACGCTATTATATTCATATATATTATATATATATATTACTACACTACTATAGGCTGATTCGATCGAGTGAGCGAGTACGTGAATGGGAACGGGTGGAGCGGTTACAAGGAAAAAATATGAATGAAGTCATGCGGTAGTGACAATCGCGTACGGATTTACGTTTGGCGCGCATGCGTCCCCAATCCGTAATGTTGTACGTAGCACGTGCATCGTTTCATGCCATTCAGCATGAGTAGCACATAAAACTAT